CTGGTGGGGGGCGGCGGCTCGGAGACCGGCTGCTGGGGCGCAGCCTTCAGGGCCTAGTGAGGAGGCGGAGGAGGAGGACGAGGACACCGAGCAGCAGCAGCAGCGGTGGAAGAGCCGGGCGGTGAACGGCAGCCGGCTGCTGGGCTCCGGTGGCAGCAGGGACAAGTACTCGGACTCAGAGGAGGATGAGGAGGAGCAGGAGGGGGATGAGGGACCACGGGCCAAGCCGCAGGTAGCGAGGGAGGAGCCTGCGGCCCGCCAGCCCCGGGCCCGCCGGAGCCTGGCCAAGCCTGCCGCAGCCGCAATGGAGACAGGCCAGGACCGGGCTGGAGTAGATGGCGGCGCTGGTGTAATCGCCGGGAATGACAGGGCGGAGGCGGCGGCTGCCGCTGGGAGTCTAGACAGGGGCAGAAAGCAGCAGCAGCAGGAGGCGGCGGCGCTGGGGGGAGGCGGATGTGAAAATCTGGACTCCAGCCCTGCTGTCGCCAGACACAGCAGCAGCTCCTCCAAGAAATCCCCTCCTGCGCTGCTCCTGCCCCCGCTGGTGGACATGGACAGTGGGAAAATCCCCGACTCTCGGGGCTCGCTGAGGAAAGCAGCCAATAATCATGTTCTCAGGGGTGTTGCTGGGGGCTACAGCATTGAACCCAGGGTCTACTCTGCTACCAACAGCCTTCCTCCCGGTGCTGCGGCCACCGCCTCCTTTAGACTCAATCACACCAACCACACGGGCTCCAATCACACCTACCTGAAAAACACCTACAAGCGAAACCTTTCTGAGCCGGAGGAGGAGCTTCTCCAGCAGTTCAAGAGAGAGGAAGTATCTCCCACTGGGGGATTCAGTGCACATTACCTGTCCATGTTCCTCCTAACCGCCGCCTGCTTGTTCTTTCTGATACTGGGACTCACGTACCTGAGGATGCGGGGATCGGGAGTCCCTGAGGATGGGGACCTTAACAGTAAGTGTCAGGTCAAGGCTAAGAGGGGTTTTTGCAAGAAGGCATCCTCCACTAAATGTTACTTTACACTTAAGTAATATCTTGCTCCTGTTGCTCTCCTGTATAATTTTCCCAATACCTATGCTACATCTAAGCCTTAGTTTATCTTTTGGGAACACTACTTAGGTGAAGTGCTTTAGGTGATGCAACAAGTCTGGAACACATAAGAATAAATCCAGAGTCCTGTCTCTTGTAATCTGTCAGTAAGTACCTGCTTCTCTGGCATGTTTCACAATAGGCTTTTGTACGTTTTCTGACCATGCAGAGTATTTTTGAAAGATCAGTAGGAGAGCCAGCAGGGTAAGGCCTTTATATTGTTACGATCTTCTCAGGTCAGTTTATTTTGGGATCTTTTTGATCCAACCATTACTAAAACTCACAGCTATCAAATCGTAAAACAGATCAAGTAGGTAAGACTGAAGCTTTACCTTGATTTGGATTATAATACTTTGACTGAAAAGGTTATGCAGTAAAAAACGATCATGCGGTAGGTAGCAAGACTGCATGTAGGTGTGGTGCTTTCTAGCAGAGAACTTCTGGGTCTAAACTTAGTTAAGGTTGGGTATCACCTAGAAATGTATGTGCTTTCTATCAGGCTTACTTAACGCTTGTTTGGACTTTTTGACTATGTACAAGTGACTTAAAATATATTTAGAAACTTGCCATTCTCTCTTCAAGTGGTACAAAAATGGAAATGTCCCAGTTAAGGGTGGTAGTTCATGATAACTGAACTCTTGGCCTTTCTGAAATAGGCAAGAAACCTATCTGTGTCAACTGTGGTGGTATGTATTTTTTCCCTTTTCTTCTGGACTGTTATTCATTAGAAATTAAACATGGAGGAAGCTTGCTTATGGAAATGAGTGCTGGCTGGATAATAATTTATGGTCTTTAGTAACTTAGCTGGTGTTGAACAGGTGATCATAAAGGGGGGCTACATGTACCTTTGGAACAAGTGATACTTGATCAAAGCCCCATACTTGCTGTTACCTTGTTTGATGAGGGGAACCAATTCAAGGCACTAGGCAATAGAATGCATACTGTATACTGTAACTGTAACAAGAAAGAGTTGTCTGATGCAGTTGTATCCCTTCCCCAGACTGGATGCTGGAAGGGGGGGTGGTGAGTTTCTTTCCCTGTAGCATTAGTCTCCTGGCTGTAAATAAGAACTCACTCTCTGATAAGTTCTGAGCCATTTTGGGGGTCTGTTCAGCTAATCGTTTTCCCAAGTAGCAGCGGAATACTGACATCCGTGTCAGACTCCATGTTGCTCTGAAGAGCTTCAGTAAAAATTGTCCAGTCTTCTGCCGTTTGGAAAGTTGTGAGCAGCAGATATGCTGGAATAGTCTAAAAAGTCTGGAGGGCAATACTTTATCTGTTCACTTTGGGCTGGAAACTTACAACTTTTTATTAAATGAGAGTGAGCATCACAATAGCCACTGAAGCGTTTAAAAAAGAAAAAACAAATTCTGAGGATTTTGGTGGAATTAGGGTGCGTTTCCTGACTGGCATTGTTAGCTAGTTGGTGAATTTTACAGAATATGCTAAAGAGAAAACTATTTGTCAGTGACTGTATAGCTAGTTGTGGAAAGATGGATGTACTTCAGACCTTGAATTTGGGTAGGGGAGAAAAAACTACTTAGGTTTTGAAACAGAAATTAGAGTGGTGGTCTGATGTGCGTGCTCAGCATCAAGGCAAGTTCTTTGGGGGCAGGTCTGGTTCTGCTCCTTCTGCATTGTTTAAACGGCACAAAGGAAGCAGAAATCTTAGTCTGCTACTGCAGGTATTTCAGTGAGGAGGCAGACCCATAGGACAGTGATTCTCAACTGGAGCATCATGAGATCTTTTAAGAGTCCTGGCCCCTGGTTGAGGAGGTAAGTGCTTTCTTTTTCACCTGTTGGGTTCCCTGTGCCTGCCTCAGCATCTCAGGGACAAATGGCATCCTTGGCTGTTCTTCCAAGAGCTTCCACTTTTGCCCTCCCCCTGCTGCAGTCCTTGTACTGACTGCCAAAGTGCTCTGTCACAGGTGGGCAGATGGGTGTGAGGCTGTGAAGTCATGCTTTTCTGCCTGACTCTTTTTCCTTCTCCCAAGCTCTGCTGGTGGGAGGGGCTGCTGGGGTAGGTAGACATGAAAGTCCCCTGAGGAGCAGCATCACCAGTGGGGACTATGCTTACCCTCTCAGGTGCAGATTGGGGGTGGGAGAGGGGACAGATGGTGGAAAATGCAGGACACCTGGCACTAACCAGCTCCTGCAGGGACAGATGCCTCTTTCAGGGGTGTAATGACCCACTCCCAAGCTACCCAGTCTGCCTTACTGTGCACCGTTCCTTGTCATGCTTTTAAGGATGTCCTGTCCCCTTGTGAGAGCCTTAGAAAGCGCCATGGAGTAGGGGAAGATAAGTACCATAAGAAAAAAATTAGTGTTTGAAGTGGGGTGTTGCTGAATTCCAAAAAAATTATGGAGGGTTTTTTTAAGTTGGAAAGCATTGAGAACCATTGCCCAACAGAGCATATGAAGTCAGCCCTACATATTTTTTCCTCTTTCTGCATCTTCTGGAAACATGGGGCTGGTGCAGGGCACATGCAGCATGTGGGGATGGAGCCAGGGTACATGCTGTACAAGGCATGTGGAGCCTGTGGGCCTGATCTGGATCAGCTCTAGATCCAGCAGGTCTTGTGCAGATGCTGCATGCAGCATGCACTTTGGACCAGCCCCCAGCTCTACACGTGGGGCTGGAGTTACTGCATGCTGGATACAGGGTTGGTCCCAGACTCACAGGCAGCACTGTGGACTGGATAATAGGGCTTTGCAGGCCAGATCTGGTCAGTGGGCTGTATGTCTTTGACAGCCCTGACTTGGGACAACAAACCAACTGAAAGTAATCTTAGGGAACTGTTTCTAGCTAGTTCAAGCAGCCTCCAGGCTGCTGGTAACTTGGGCTTACAGTGACACTGTTGAGCTTCTAACTAGTCGCAGCTGCTTTTTCCTTTTTTTTTTTATTCCTTCCTTTGTTGGCTGCATCAGGGGAGGAAATAATCAAATTTCTGATGAAATCATCAAAGCATCAGGCTCTTTAGGCTCAGTTGTGCTGTCCTCTGGCTGCTTTAGTTCTGTGGGTACACCATATACCCACCTCCCCATAAAGGCAGAGCTGATTTGGATGCATTTATTTAAAAATGATGGAGCATGGCTTGGGTAACACCTTCAGTTATTCATCAAATGCAGTTTTTTGTTTGCTTTTTAATAGCTGCAGGTTGAAAATCACTGGTAACTAGCCATTTGTGTTGTTACAGAAATATTTCAAATCTAGTTGCACTATACTTGAGTGAAGCTGAAAATGAACATATTTATTATAAGTTTGAATTCAGAGCATATTCTAAAATAAGTGGTCAAGTGAAATGCCCCAAGATTTGTTTTAAGGAAGACACCACTGAATATAAATTTCTTCACGTAAGGACATTAATTAGACAAGATACTCAAGCCAGAGTGCTTTTTTTTTTTTGTCTTTCATTGGATAGAACAAGGCTGTCCAGCTGTTGACCTGTGGGCCACATCTGGCTTGTGGGGGTTTAATGTGGAGCCAGTGGGTTCCCATCTGGCTGCTACTACTCTCATTTCTCCTGCTGTTGTTGAAGCTAGGGTCTCAGGGTCCCATGATGGGAGTGGGAGGGGGCTTACACCACTTGCATGGCAAGGGGGCTGCACTGCCCATGTGGTGGGGATCCCAGGAAGTCTTTGCAGCCCCAGGCATGAGGCCCATGCCATGGGTGCAGTGTGAAGCCCCCGGCTGATTAGAAGTTAGTCAGCCCTGGGATAGAAAAATGTATGGCTGGGGTCAGTTTAGAATACTTAACCTATTCAACATTTAGCACTTACCATGTTACCAAACTAGGGTTTTCATCTGGATAAACAATGCTTCTTAACCTTTGGAAGGCACATCTTAAAACATGAATTAATGTTCCCAGTGCATCCTTTTCTGTCTTCTACTCCCTTGTAAGATTGCAGCTCTTGGTCTTGGGAAAACGTGAATCCTAGCTCCCAAACATGCGAAAAAGTAAGAACGAAAGTTCCACGTGTATTTGCTGAACTGGATATGCAACTTCTAATTCCTGAAATATATTTTGTTGAACTGCTGTAATATTAGTAATCTGACTGATTACTGTAAATACATATAGATATTCAGCATATGATTATAGTGCCAAGCACTTCAAGTGCTGATCTTGATTTAACTTGTTTCATTACTTCATACTAAAAAAATGGGAAATCCAGATAAGAATTCCAGATGTGACCTCCATCAGTAGCATGTAAGTCTTGAGTTCTTAGTGAGGTTTCTGTTGGCAGGCTAAAAAAAAGTGTGCTTTAAACAGGTTCAATGTATATTGGAAACATGGTACATACCTCTGCAAACAATGAGGATGAGACCTCTTGCTATAATAAAATGAACTTGGTGCTTGTAGGAGACTTTTAAAACTGTAGGTATGATTTGAGTTTCAGATTACTTTCTCATAAGAAATAAGCTTAGAAGATTTGCATATATAAGCTTTTGGTAAATGTGAGAGTGGACTAAACTTATGAACTGGTGCTCAACCTGGCAGGTCAGGTGGGCAGTACCTCCCTTGTCTGTTTGCAGGCTGAATCTGGCTTGTGGTCCTGATCTGGCATCTTGGGGCTTGGCGGGTCTCCATCTGACAACACAGGGAGGGGCAGCCCAGCCCAGCACTGATCAAGCTATGTAGGGGAGGAGGGGGCTTGGCCTGGTCCTGCAAGGGAGGGAGGCGGAACATGACCTGGCTGATCTAGCTGTGCAGCGGCCAAGGGGCATGTGGCCTGACCTGGATGTAGCTGTGTTTGGAGGGGGGGGCCCAACAGTGCGACCAAGCGACAATCTACCACAGAGGGTTTTGCAATTTGATAGTGGGATAGTGAGATAGTGGGCTGTCTCAAGCAGGGCCAAGGAGGTG